ATCCTGAAGACCGGTACCTATACTACTGGGGGGGTTCCTTGTGATAACTATAGTATAGTAGGACCCAAAACTTTGTTCTAATTAATCAAGCTCCTACATTAAACAGAAAGAGACACTACTTCTGGCATCCTGAAGACCGAACCTTCCCATGGATCCGTAAGGGTCATTCATATCCCAAGCAAGGGAGACTCAATGTAGTGACCGCAAAACGTGGTATAGGGTATTACGATATTGGGGGTAGATTCTATTCCAGTCGTATGGCGGCATCTTGTTGCAAAGCTTCGTCTTACATAGGGGCCTTCGATACGGTTCCGTAGCGTCCTTGATGTCTGCAACTCCCACATTGGGCAACGATTCCCTAAGCCACCCACCACAAGCTAAAACCCTAAACCCTAAACCGTAAACCCCTGCAATCCGTCGCCGATTCCCCCTTGAGGAGGAAGCCGGGAGGGAGGAGAGCAAGATTACTGGAGGAGTACCTCGACAAAGTGTTGGGGCAGGGGACGCACATTGCTCCAACCAGATCCCCTTATAGAACCCTTATAGATCCCTAAACCCTAAACCCTAAACCCTAAACCCTAAACCCTTATAGATTCCCTTAACAGGAGCCCTCAACGCTAAGAGCCCTAAATCCTTAAGCCGTCCCTGACCCGTGAGGTTGCAGCGGCCGTGCGGCAGTGCGCCTCCGAGACTGGCCCGGAGCAGACGTGCTCTCCGGCCTTATGGGTTTAGGGTTTAGGGTTTAGGGCAGTTTAGGGTTTAGGGTTCCTTTTAAAGGGATCTATAGGGGTTTAGGGCTCCTTTAAGGGTACTATAAGGGTTTAGGGTTTAGGCTTTAGGTTTTAGGGTTAAGGGTTTAGGACTTAGGCTGACATATGGGTTTAGGGTTTAGGGTTTAGGGCTTAGGCTGACTTGCGGGTTTGGGCTTCAGGAGTTTGGGGGTTGAAGGTTTAGGGTTCCTTTGAAGGGATCTTTAAGGGATCTATAGGGTGTTTAGGATTTAGTAAGGTTTGCGATTTAGCGTTTAGGGTCGAGGGTTTAGGAGTTTAGGGTTTATAGGGCTATGGTCAGGGACCAGCAGGCCACATCCTATTTAAATCAATCCCTTTCCGTGCACCACCAGTATATTCAAGTGTGGTGTATTGCGGAAGCTTGAAGCGCAACTTGCATGGAAGCTCAAGTGCTGAATGCAGCTTTGAATATATACTATAGGGGCCTAAGTAACTAAGTAACTACTATTACTATTTTGGAGTTCCTTATTATACGCTCTAGTATTATATACCCGCAAACCCGATTCTAATACTAAAAGCCCTATATTTTACTTGAAACCAAGCAGGTCACAAGCCAGAACTCCGCCTTGCTAAGGAAGGACGTGATTGATTGCCTGGTCTGCCGCAAGCAGGCTGGGTTTGAAGTGGAAGCACTTGTTCCTGAACCGGTGTGTAGCAAAAGATGAGGTACCAGTAAGGTGCCGGCACCTCAGGAGGACTTCCACATCGCCGAGTGCCCCACATCAACTTGCCGACTGCGGCCGCGTGCCAGAATGTGCTCAAGAACTGAGAAGGGCTCCCCGACCGTGAAGTCACGGAGATCGACAGTAGTCTGCCGAGAGCTCAAGAAACTGCACATAAACTACACCCTGAACCCTAAACCCTAAACCCCTAAACCGGGAGACGAAAAGTAAATGTCCAAACATCAAGAATCGGAACTCTTCTGTCGGAGAGGAAGACTGCAACCGTGCGAGCTGAACGCGACTCGCTGGAGACCTGTTAGAAGGGAAGAACAGGCAGAAGAGCAACAACAGTAAGCACTGCGCCAGCCGCCACGACCTCACACTCTACCACCACCGCCACCACCGCCGCCGCCACCGCCACCACAGCCACCACCACTACCACCACCACCACCACAGCCACCGCCACCGCCACCGCCACCGCCACCGCCACCGCCGCCACCGCCACCGCCACCGCCACCACCACCACCACCTTCACCACCACCAACACCCCCGCCACCACCGCCACCACCACCACCACCACAACAAGAACAACAACGCCAGCAGCAACAACAACAACAACCACTACTACTACGACGACGACGACTACTACGACTACTACTACGACTACTACTACGACTACGACTACGACTACGACCACGACCACGACTACTACTACTACTACTACTACTACTACTCCTGCTACTACAGCAGCAACAACAACAACATCAACAACAACAGTAACTAGTTTTGTATGGACAAGCAGTCGCATACAAGGCAGAGGACAGCAAGAAGACGAAGCATGCTCTCGGCAGTCTTTGGGACTTCTAGCGTGAACTCCGCGGGACTGGCATCGCTTGGCTCCATGGATTTGACGGTACAGGGTTCGTTGTGGTGTCATGGGTTGAATAGATGTAAGAAGACATGTTCGACATGCGAAACGGTACAACAAGCCTCCACCATCCGAAATAATACCTTTCCCTGCATCCAGCGGCACTATGCACCGTGGCCATGTGCTTTCAGAAAATCACCATGCGCATCATGCGGTCTTCAGCTGTCTGGCCCTTGTGCTGCAACGGCAACAGCAAACATAATGACATGAGTAAGGTTCTAACCACTCACAACTCTTGGCTTGAAAAACACCAAAGCTGGACTAGATTGGGGTCTATGGCTTGGGCACTAGTCTAGAGTTATAATGTGCCGATAGGCCCGGTGAAGCGGTGCCTGGAAATGTGTGTATTTTCAACTCTACATATATATATATATATACCTGTATATATATATATATGTATATATTTTGAGGAATCATTTACGGTTGATGCGGGAGAATCCAGTTTTGGGAAACATGTTGGCAATATTTGACAAATCTCGCTCTTTCGACGAAAACGACATAATTCAGTGGTTCCCCTCGTTTTCGCATAGAAACCTCAGACGTCGACCTGCAATCCCAGGCTTTCGCCGATCTTTCCGTAAGTCGTTGTCTCTATTAGGGAAGATCAGCAACACTTTACCAAAGCTCTCAGTACTAATGTGTTTTTCGTTCTCGAGTCGAAACCTAAACTTCCACGCCGAAATACTACTTTCTTCCGCTGCTCAGGAAAGGTTCTTAAACCTGACAACTTGCGCCGAAAATGAGCGCAATACAGTTGCGAACCCTGGGTTCAGACTTTTGGTTTTCTCCAACATGAAATTATTCTGGGTTTAGAGTTTAGGGTTTAGGATTTAGGGTTTAGGGTTTAGGGTTTAGGGGTTTAGGGGTTTAGGGTAGTATTATTAGGTACCCCTTAAAGGGTACCCCTTCTGAACCCTACTTTTGGCTCTCTTAAAAGGGGCCTTATTGAGAGGGTCTATATCCCCAAGGGTCCCCCTAATCCTAGCTCCCATATTCAGGGGATTTGTGGTGCATTCATTCAGAAGTCTGGGCTCTCCAGAAGGACCTTGGCGTCTTGTGAGTAGACTGCAATGTGGCCTACTTGGAGGTTCATGGGTAGTTATAAGTTCGTTTAAAGGGTTCTATAGGGTTTGGGGTTTATGGTATAAGTGGAGTTATAAGTCCCCTAATATGGGCTATAATTATAGCTACCCTACTTATAACCCCACTTATAACTATGAACCTCCAAGTAGTTGGCTTCGGATTAGGTGGTTCTTTAGCCTTATTTGATCCTTGGAGCCGACGTAAGCCGTGCAGTGAGCTTCGAAGTGCAAAAGGTGCATCGGGTGGCTGCTGATAGCAGATACTGACCCTGGCAGGTAGGTAGTTGAAGCAGAGAGAGCCCGCTCGGTGTGAAAGTGTTCCGTCAGAGAGCGAGAGGGATCACAGGCTTCCCATGAGGATTCTGCATAGTCGGCAACTGTTAGCATTCCTTTATGGGTAGTATCGGGTTCTATCAGGATACTATAAAGGATCCTGAAGGGTACTCGCATAGGGTGCGACAAGGCTACTATGACGGTTCCTTTGAGGGTAGTCACTTCACTTGTAACTACCCATGAGCCTCCAAGTAGGGTTCTAAAATGCCAAGCAAGGCCTCTGTGATCAGGAACCCCCTGGACCCCCCCCCCCCCCACTGTCTTCCCAATCCCGGCAAGCTTGGATTGCAGGTCTGTTGGCGGCAGCAAGGTGATGACAGGACGGAGGGTTTAGGGTTTTTAGGGTTTACCCTAAACCCTAAACCCTGCACCCTGAATCCTAAACCCTCAGGGTTGGGGAATCTGAGAAACCCTGACTCTGATTGCATGCAGCTCTTACGGAGGTAGGGTCAGCTCTGCATCCTAAATCCTAGCGCTAATTGCTATGACGGCTATGCTGCCTCGTCGCAAGGAGTGCATAGGAGCTGGAGCTTACTTGAGGGCTGAACCCTAAACATTTCTGGGTACTATAGGGGCCTTAACAAATTACCTATAGTATTGTGGAGCCTCCCTTTTGTAAGCATAGTAAAGTATACCCCCCAAACCCGATTCAAACTATTAAGGCCCCTAAACCCTAAACCCTTCTTGTAGCCCTTAGAGAACCCTTTAAGGAACCCTTTTACAGGAGCCTCCAAACTACTGTTGATGGACAAAATCCTGCATGACCTTACATGAGATGAGGTCAAAATTATCGTATATTGTTTATAAAGCAGGCGGTTGTCGTAGATGGCCAATGCTACCGTTGACTTGTAAAACGATAGGGGACGCTCTAAAGACGA